CATCACAGGGCAAGAAAGTGGCAGGTGGCCCTCGATGCAGGCCCATCCTCTCCTCAAGGCTCCAGGCTGCCACTTACTCCTCTCTGCTAGGTACCCTCACCCCCAGGTAGAACCCTTAAGTCACCCTAACCCTGAGTCCATATCGTCACCTCTCATCTGACACCCGATAAAGCCCTCCCCTCTCTCCCCACCTGCACCCCTCTGCCAGCAGCAGGGGTGGCCTTTCGAGCTGGCTGATGCTCCCTGAAGGGAGTCCAACATTCACCCCTTCTACCCCTCAGTCCCCTGGCCTGGAGTGATGGGACCTCATCCTCAGGCCTCAGCTGGAGGTCCCTTCTGAGAAGCTCTCCAGCCGCCCACCAGGCACTAGCTGGCCCTGGTCATACTCAGAGGTGAGGGTAGCTGCTCACATGCCCATGTCTACCGCCGTCTGCACACCCGCTCATTTGCTCTGTGCACACACAGAGAGCGCCACCGGTGAGTGCGGCCCCGCTCCCAGGGCCGCAGTGCTGGGGCGACACACACGGCTCTTGGTCCCACCTGAGCAGCAGGAGAGCACGGTCTGCAGAGGCATGAGACCAGGCCCAGGGGCTCTGTGAGCATTTGCGGAATGGCTGTGAATCTTTCTGCGGGGAGGTGGTCACAGCTGCCATCCTGGGCCTGCCTGGAAGGCCGCTTTTCAAGAAGCAAGCTGAAATTTGTTGCAAAGAGCCCATATTCTCTGGTGTGTCCAACCAACTCCACCCCACGTTGCTAGACCACCAGCTCCTCATGGCTGCCTTCGAGAAACTTGGGGCATAAAGAGTGCATAAAGAACTCTTACAACTACTAACAAAAAGACAACCCAACTAAAAAATGGCAGATCTGAAGAGGCATTTCTCCAAACAAGATACACAAATGGCCAACAAGGACCTGAAAAGATACTCAACATCATTAGTCATTAGAAAAATGCAGGTCAAAACCACAAGGAGACACCACTTCACACCCGCAGCGGGGCCAGAATCAAACAGGGGGGCCAGACAGGTAGTAATAGGTGCGGGCCAGGGATGTAAGTGGTGCAGCCCCTGTGGAAAACAGTCTGGCAGCCCCTCAAACAGTTAAGTTCAGTAATTATCAGATTCCAGCAATTCCAGTCCTAGGTATAGACCCAAAAGAAATGAAAACACATGTCGACGCAAAAACCTGTACGTGAATGTTCATGGCAGCGTTATTCGTAACAGCCCCGGAGTGGAGATAACCCCAGCGCCCATTAACTGGTGGAAGTATAAATAACATACGGCCTATCCACACCTGGCAGTAAAAAGGAGTGGAGCGCTGAACACCTGCCACAACGTGGATGAACCCAGAGTACGAGGCGAGTTACAAAGAACACATATCATAGCGTATTTATATGAAATTCCAGAGTAGGTGAATCCATAGAGACAGAAGATGGCTTGGTGGTGGTCCAGGGGGAACTGGGGAGTGATGGCAACATTGGACAGGGCCCTTTCTGGAGACCCCAAAAAGCTCTCACATGGGTGGTGGTGATGGACGCGCACTTCTGTGAATATAGTAAAAGCTACTGAGTCGTAGGCTTTAAGTGGGTGAACTGTATGAATTACATCTTGATGAAGCTGTTAGAGATTTTTCTTACTTTAACCCTAAATCAAGAATGTCCAGAAACTTGCGGACTAATGTGCTCAGCATATGTTTTCCAGTGACTTTTAAAAATATCTAACCATTAAACTTCAAGGAGTCACCACCCCTGCACACAAATCACACTCAGCAGGTCCCCCAGCTCCACCCTCTTCTCTCACTGGCCATTTCTCTTCTAGAACCTCTGAACTTCTGTCCTTCAAGATCTCGGAGGACAAGTACTACCATCTAACTAATTCAGAATCTTCTAATGACAACTTACAAAGCTATTAGGAGCTCATAGAAAAAAAATTTTTCTTAAAAAGAACTATTAACCATGGATTTTAATTTTTTATTGCTATGGTCACAAACCACAGCTGCTTTCATATTCAGACCACAGGCACCGGGGGATGGGAATGGCACGTGCAGCCTCCTCAGGTCCTGGGCCCGGGCCCCGGGGTCCTCAGGGGAGTGGAAGCTGCTGGCCACAGGACCCCAAGCAACAGCAGACTCAGGACATGGTCAGCAGAGGGTGCCAAGGAGCACCTGGATCTAGCCCAGCAGAAGCAGCAAGAGGGACAACACGGACAGCCTGTAAGCCCCCAAGCTGTGCCCACCCTGCCCGGTGGGGGTCGGCTGCCCAGGAACACGCTGCACGCTGGAGCCTGGTGACCTCAGGACACCGACCACGGCCCTGGCTCTGGCAGTCTAGCCGTCAGGCCATGAGCATGTGCTTGCCCTTTCTGGTCTCAGTCTCTCCAACTGCCTAGAGGTTCTCAGCCCTGGAGAGGCAGGACCAGGCATTCGTCCTGCTATAAAGGGGCTGGGGACGGAGAGTTCAGGAGAGAAGTGAGCCTTCCAGGGACCCAGGAGCCTGGCTGTCCCACCGTGCCAGAGCTGTACATTCAGCTGCTCCCATGACCACAGGTGGTGCCTCCACCGTGGCTGCTGAAGCTGGCCCGGCCAGGGTGGCGGCTGATGGGGGGAGGCTGGGTAGAGTAGAGGGGAAGGGGGAGAGGCCAGGGCAGTGCGGGGGGGAGGGGGAGGCAGAGCACCCTGGACTTTGGGCTCAAACTTGGGCAATCTTCGCTACTTCTCCGAACCCCGGCTTCCTCATCTTTATGTGGCAGAACAACAGCAAGAGTAATAATACTTCCTGTAACCTCCGGAGGCATTTTGAAGATGAAACAGCAGCTGTGTGAACCCTGGGCACAGAGCGCGGTCCTGAAAGGCTGGGGCGGCAGCGCCTGCACACGGCAGCCTCTCAGGCAACGTTACGAGTACTGCTGCTCTTACAACCCACACTGGGCATCCCCTCCACAGGTGTTCACACAGGTAATTCCATGGAAGGACGGGAAGAGCACACTTGTGGCATCGAGGGACTGGAAGTAGCCCTCTGCCTCAGCTCCCCTGTGAGAGGCCGCAACCTCTCAACTGTCTCCCCTCAACAGAGGGGCCAAAACCACGCAGAAGCCCAAGGAGGCTGGGAAGTTCCACGAGGAGCCCAGGCCCATCCCAGGCCTCATTTCCTTCCAGGATGTTGCACGGGAGCCCTCACCCGCCCCCAGGCTGCATACCCTCCAGCTGTGAGGACCCCTCCCCAGTCATCCCTCCTGAGTCGGGGGCTGCATGAACCACACTGGTTGTCCACACTCCTGCATCCAGCCATCTTCCTGAGACAGGCAAGCCCACCACAGCCCCCGTTTCTATACCGATTCTCCTGAAGGAGATGCGAACTTCCCTTTCTGCACAGACACAGGGAAGGAGGTGCCTGTGCTCATGGACCCCCGACAGCAACAGGGGTGGCTTCGCCGGGCCTCGGCGTGGGGCATTTGCACCAGATCCCGGCAGCCCCAGGCTTTCACTCTGTCCTGGTGTCCTTCATCTTGCCCACCTGCTCCGGGCAGCCCCAGATCACAGACAGGCCAAGTGGATCCTCCGGGAAACCCCTGGCAGGACATCTGTCCCAAGGAAAGAGAGCAAGGGGCCCAGAAACACCCTGGACACAAAATCATACCTTCGGTCACAAGGTACAAACTAGCAGCTGTATTTTGTTTGGCCTCCAAGGTATCTGGAATGCTTCTCAATTAGTTACCATCATTTTTGAAATTTGAAAATTAAGCAGGAAAAGATAGTTGTATTTCTAGCTTATCCTGAAAACTGGATATCGGGACCGATGGCCAAGATCTGGTGAACACAAGGCAGCTGCCCCTTCCGTGGAGCCCAGGCCTGGCAGCTTGCCATCCGCCCGCCCCCAACCACCAGCATCAGGCTCACACAACCTGCACGGTCCTCGTGGGCACTTGGAGGTGCAACCCACACTTTAAATGCAATGAACTCTGTCTTGCCAGTGCACAAATGGCCTTGTTGGGGTTAAGAGGAGATGGAGGAGCAACCTTGGACCAAATGGGTGACCCAAGCCCCCGCATCATCAGAGTGGATATCAAAAACATGGATGCTCCCCGTGAATTTTCTTGGGTCGGCCTGGCTTTCATATATATCCCTTCTCCACCATCCCACAAATTTTCATACGCCAATGAATGCCTTAATTTTTATTCTGGTAGCATGGTTTCCATTTTATGCAACAGGAAACTACAGTGGGTGGGGGTGGTCAATCCAGTCCACTGCTAGTTTTATAAATAAAGCTTTACTGACAGACACCCATGCCTGTTCACTTACATTTTGTTTGGCTGCTTTTGGGCTAGGACAGCAGACCTGAGTAGCTGAGACACAGACCATATGGCCTACAAAGCTTAAAATACCTATCAGCTGGCCCTTTATAGAAAAAGTCTGCAGATCCCTGAGCCGTGCAGGAGAGGCAAAAGTCACCTCCTTTAGGAGCATTCTTTGGTGTCCATATCTGGGTTCCTTGTTTAAAACACTTATGCTCGCTGGGCACCTGGGTCAGTCATTAAGCGTCTGCCTTCGGCTCAGGTCATGATCCCGGGGTCCTGGGATCGAGCCCCGCATCGGGCTCCCTGCTCCGCGGGAAGCCTGCTCCTCCCTCTCCCACTCCCCCTGCTTGTGTTCCCTCTCTTGCTGTGTCTCTCTCTGTCAAATAAATAAATAAAATCTTTAAAACAAACAAACAAACAAAAAAACCCACTTATGCTCGCTGGGGTAGGAATGATCTGCCACTGGATGAAGGTGGGGGCCTTCATCCCCCCTGACTGAGGAGGCCAGGGAGAGGAGGTGAGGGTGTAGGACCTCTGTGTTGCTCGCTTGCCTTGATGGGGAGAAAGCCCAGAGTGGTCACCCACAGTTCACCCCAAAGCACCTCTGGGAGGAAACACTGCGTTTTCCACCAGAAATTTGGTGCCTGTACACTCTAGCACAGACCCATCTCTGCCCTTGGCACCCAGTCCCAACCAGCCCCCGGCACTTACTTCATGGGTTTGAACAGTGCTTGGCCATAATTCTGGAACGTCATGATGAGCTTGAGCTGCGTGCCCCCCGACTTCATGGCTGCAAGGGAGAGGGAAAGAGACACGGGGTCACTTGCTGCCCTCAGACGCCTCCCTCTGTGGGCTAGTGAGGCCAGCCCCCACTCTGGTCCCACGGCCCCACCTGGGCCTCTCGATGTGGCTGAGGGTGCCCATTCTGCCTGGGAAGTCTGGGGTTTCCAGCAATGATGCTGATAAATACTCCCACCTGATATTTAGGTGCTGGGGCTGGGGGCAGAATCTCTCAGACAGTCTGACCCTCCCATAGGGAGTGGTCAGCCCTGGGCAGCAGAATAGCCAGGAACCAGGTAGATGCTGTCCCCCAGTGCCTAGGGGGCTGGCTACAAGGATGGAAGGTGGAAGCCAGGGGAAGGAGGCTAAGGCAGTCATAGCAGATGATGGTGGCTTGGATGGCAGAGATGGGGAAAATGGAAGAATTAACGAAATATTAGGGGGTCCAAGGAACCATTTAGTGGAGTAGGTGTGGGGCGTGGAGGGAAGAGAGGAACCTAGGTTGACTCTCGGATTCCAGTCGGAGCAGTGGATGAATGGGGAGGAACGTGCATGGAAGTGAAGATCAAGACCAGGTGAGTAGGGATGACTGAGGGGTGCCATACGGGGGTGCGCCATACCGGGCGTGCGCCATACTGGGGGTGCGCCATACCGGGCGTGCGCCATACCGGGGGTGTCCCATACCAGGGGTGCGCCAAACTGGAGGTGCACCATACTGGAGGTGCACCACATTAGAGGGGCACCATACTCGGGGGCTTTTGTATGAAGGAGCCCTGAGGCTGGAGTCTCTGCTCAGCTTCCTATGGCCGGGTGCCCTAGAAGGAGCCTCCACTCTCCCTCATCTTGGTTTCCCCCGTGTTAGTTGGGGCACGGAGGCCTGCCCAGCCTCCTTCATGGGGCTGTGGTGAAGGTCAGGACAAATTAAGGACAATGCAGTGCTACAGGTCAACCACATCACATTACAAAGCAGGGCTGCTATCACCATCAAGTGGGTAATGCTTGTGGAGCATCTAGAATGGCGCAGGGCCCATGGCACATTCAAGACGGCAGACTGCCACAGGAGTGTGAAGAAGAACCAGGAGTTCTGAGCTCCCTGAATGTCTTCGGTGGCTCTCATGGCCTCTGTAAGGGCCCAGGTCCAGCCCCACTCCTGGGTTCCCAACCCAGCCACTTGCTAGTTCCTTCCTCTGCAACGTCTGTGGCCAGGACAGCCTGGCTGCCTTGGGAGCGCCCTGGTCTTGGGGTCCAGGAGGTGGAGCTGAAGGCACAGTTCCCCCAGACCGGTGTGTGACTTGGGTCTGTCTGACGCTTTCCCATCCTGAGCCCTCCGCAGGAAAACAAACCCACCCACCCCCCCCGCGCCTAATTCCACTTCCCTCCAAAACACTGGAAATAACCTAAAAATGCCCAATCCTGGGGGCAGAAGCACAATGCACGGTAATCCCACGTGAGGGAATACTACGTAGTCCTCTTAACGGTACCAAAGACTCTCCAATGATGCAGCAAACTGCTCATTATTTTATTATTAAACAAAGCAGCTTATGAAGCATTTACACTCTGTGAACTGCCTTCTTTGGAAGGTGTGTATGTAAGGGCATGGGAAAACCTGGATGCACAGTGAGAAGCTACAGCCCAGTGCTTACCCCCCAAGAGTAGAACCACAGATGATTTCAATTTCCTTTTTTCCCTTATCTGTGCTTTCTAAATTTCAACAATGAACATTTATTACATTTTTAATAAGATGAAAACAGAAGTGATCATTAAGAAAATTAGTGGCCCAATTAAGCCCTATTCGATATCCCCATTTCCATGTAATAACTGGGGTTACTGGATTTAATTATTCCTTCCCAGGCCAATCGGGGACAGCACATCAGCTCTTTCCAGGGCCTGTAATCCTGGTTTTCTTGAATAATAAATTATTATGCAAATCTGGTCAGTTTAGTCATTCTTGTTCTGGAAGTGAATCTCAATGCACTGCTGACCTGTGTTTTCCACTGCATTACCAGCTCCTCTCCGCGGACCAAGCAAGTAACTAGAAATTAATGGGCCTTAGACTCCAGGTGACTAAGAACTCTGGAAAGGCCAGGCTTTTGTTAACTGCCCTGGACACCACCTCTCTCTTGTCTGGGGACATGTGCCTTCCCACCAGGGTCCACCATTCACTCTGCCAAGCTGGGACAGACAGCTGGAAGACACTTGGGAGTTCTGCTTGAAAATCAGGTATGGTCTGCAAAAACCCACATGCAAACTGCCTGAAGTCATGGCAAAGGCCAGGTGTTCGTCTGGGATGGGGGAGAGGCGGACGCCCCCACAAGTCTGTGCTTGGAGTGGGTGGCCCTGCTCTGCTGCTGCAGATGAGCCTGGGGAGATGGTCAGGGCTGAGGGCCCCGGTGGCAGAGCCGGGACACTAAGCAGGCCTCGAGAAGGAGGGTGTGAGTTTGGGGTTTCTTCCTGAAGCCAGACTTGAGGAATCTTGCCCCCGTGTGGGGGAGAGAAGGCGGTGGGAGCAGAAGCAAACTTCCGAGAGAAGCCCAGGTGTGCAGCAAGGGCCCCACGTGAGAGGCGGTGGACGTGCCCTCACCTGGTTGGGTCTCCATGTTTCTCAGGGGACAGAGGCCTGTCAAAACCTGGCCAACCTCAGCCCTGAGGGGCACCTGACTGAGCAGTGAGCCCACTGTGGGCTCGAGAACAGGCTAAGGCCAGGGTTGTCCTGGCACACATCCAGTGGCCATGTCCCCAGAAGACACCCTGAACAAGCCCCATGGGCCACCTTCTCTCCATCCTCACGGCCCCACCCAAATCTGGGCCTTATTGTCATCAAATCACTAACACACGAGGGGCACCGAACTGGTAGCTTGGCTCCTCAAGCCCCAGTGACGGTGCCCCTTGTACACACTCTCCTCTCCCCAGCTCGCCTCCCACAGGCACGTCCCACCATTCAGACCACGGATGTCAGCTCTGCTTTCCTGCTATCCCTCGAGAGCCATGTCCCCCAGCTATGCGTTAATATATGGTATTAATTAGCATTGACTAGTGATCATTAATGACATGCATCAGTAATTATCCATGCTAATATACACTGACAGAACACCCTATACTTTATCCTAATGGTCGTGGATGCTATAAATTCCATGACCACTAAGACACTTGGACACTGTGGGGTTTTTCTGTCTTTCCCCAGAACACAGCTCCCCTCAGAAGAACCGGAACGGGAACTGCATTTCTTAGGACCCTCCTAGGAAGGATCCTCCCTGGGAGGAGAGAGATAGCCCCGAAAGGAAAAGGGGTGCCATCCTGGCCGGGGACCCCGACGCTGCCACACCAAGGAGGCGTGAGTGGTGGGACACACAAGGCGCTGGGCTCTGCCTTTAGCTCATCCTGTGTCACACACCTCAGTGCTAGCAGGGACACATGACCTGGGTCACTCAGCAATTTGTTTCCCATGGAAACCAGGGTCAGCACCACCAGGTTCCCCATTTCTAACAAGAACCCTCAACCCATATTTTGGTGAGCCACCTCCTGACTTTTAAAGGAACTAATTCTACTGAAGAGATCGGTGGCCCACACAAACACACCCATGTGTAAGGCACTGCCAGGCCACCCGTGGGGGCCTCTGGGACTTGGGATCCATGTTTGTCCTTAGGGATCATGGTCAGGCAAGTGGCCTGAATACTTCCCCAGCCACTGCCTTGCTTTAAGGCCCAGGATGGCTCAGATCTGAGGGATACGATGCCAGGAGCACTCATTTCAGCTCTTCTTCCCTGCCCACCCCACACGCCTCACCCCCTGGCAGGAGTGGGATCTAACCAGTGGCCTAGACCCCTGGGCGCCATGCAGAGCCCCTTTTCCTGCCCTTGGGCGTCGAGGGAGAGCAGCATGCTGCGTGTCCACCTGTCCGTCATCGGTGGGCGCCCCGGGGCTGGCATTGAGGGGGCTGCTCTGAGTGAGGGGCTGAAGGAGGCTCTAAGGGCCAGGGTCCTCCTGCCCACTTGCTGTGAGACCCTGGCAGGCCTCTACCAAACTTCAGTCCCTCACATGCACGCCCAGGACGTTGGAGCTATAACTGCCCCCAGCCTCCACCGCTGTGTAGCCAAGCTCTTTAAGATAGCTCACTTTTATTATGATAATTAAATTGACTTAAAAGAGAAAGTACAGCCCTGCCCCAGCTGGAAACCAGCACTCCCTGGAACTAGAAGGAATACCAGCGGAATACATGCCTGTTGGATTCTGGAGCCCCAGCTACTGTCTGCTCAAGATGGAGAAAGCAGGTGCCGGGGCATTTGCCTGGGCTTTTGTCCTTGATCTTGGACCAGACGGCTGGAAGGAAAACTGAGGAGGGGCTCAGCTATTTGCCACCTTCTGTGGTGCCTTGCTGGCCATCTTCCTTCGAGGTGGTCTGCATCCTTCCTCCCAGATGACCTGAGGTGCTCCGGTGAATTGAGCATTTTCAGTTGTCAGTCTCCAGGTCGGAGAGCCAGGACCTGGAGACTGGGACCCACTGCAACCACGCAGGGCGGGAGGGGGACTGTGACCTCTCTGGGGCTGGAACTGTCTTCCCAAGGAGCCCACCTCTGACCATTTAGACAGGGCGGCCCCCCAGGCCCTCGGGCAGCTGCCCACCCTGGGCTGCCCCAGCCGCAGCCTTTGTTCCTGGAAGCCAATTAGTCCTGGATCCTACCTAGATCAATTAGCGCCCAGGACTTGGGTCCTGCGGAGCGGTTCTCCTTTGTTCAGGCACCCACCACAGCTGTGTCCCAACCTGGATGGAGTAATGGTGGCGTCTTTCAGCCAGAGGCTGTCTGAACCCTCTCCACGGTAGTGTGACTTCTTTTCCTTTTTAAGCAATTCCAAGTACAGAGCAGTTAATTGTGTCATTTATTCTTTGCATCCATAATTGTGCACGATAGCAATTTAATTATCACTGGCCCGAGCCGAAGGCGCTGCATGCCTGATTTCAAGCTGAATAGAGGTAGATAACGTCCCGAGCGTCTTTAAAGGCAGTGAACGGCCGTTACCAAGCAGCCAGGAGCCTGGCTATAAATAAATCTCTGTAGGCCACCGCAGCTGTAAGGAAGGCCACACGTGCTTCATGAAGTGGATCAAGTGGTTCTGAATGGGGAGTGTTAATGGAACCCTTCCGACGGGAAGCTCTGGGAACCTTCCAGGAACTGTTCCCCATTCCAACAATGCTTCTGGGCTCACATTTAATAGTGGATGCACACCTTGAAGATTAAAGGGATCACCACAGCTGGACAGCTAGGGAACAGAGATCTGAGCTGGGAGCAGGGACTCGTAAGACACCCTCCCCCGCATCTTGGAGGTCTCAGTTTCCCTGTTTACAGAAGGGGTGTTGGAAGTGGGTTGGATCTCCAGCTCTTGAAACTTAGACACTTCCTTACACCACCACGGTGGGTCAGTGTGACTTCTATGTCTCTCTCCCATTTCATGCTCAGGAGGATGGCACGGCTGAACCTTGACGCTGAGTTAGGCCTGGGCTCCTATAAAGGGGCTGGCCATCCAGGGTTCTCCACGAGGCCTTCAAAGGCTGTGTCCAGCTCTGGGTCACAGCACTGCGAGGTGCAGGGGCTGCCTGCAGACAGTTCCTAGCTAGGGCCTCCATTTCCAAACCTGCCCAGCTGGCTCTGCTAAGCCACGGGCCCACCAGGGGCTGCTACCTCAAGCAGAGGGTTGGGTTCTCAGTCAAAACATCCAACTGGATGTCGGGGCAGACGCAGCCCAGAAAGCACGCATCTCCAAGGGATGCCTGCAGCCTGGCCCAGGGCCAGGCCCTCTCCTGCGGCTCCCTGTGGACCAGGGCCTTTTCACAAGCGTGAACTCACCTGGGGGCTCACCAAAGCAGCAGCGACAGTGGGGCCAAGTGCCGGCTGAGGCCTTCCACTGGCCTGTCCCGCACAGGTTGCTGTGGTCGAGGAGGCTCTGGCCTGCCCCTGAAACCCTTCCCCCCAACACAGACACCTATGGGCAGGGACACTGCTTAGGCTCTGTTTTTACCTTTCTCTTATTTACTCACCGAAGCCTCTCAATAGCCCAAGATATAGCTGTGTCCCAAACAGGTCCATGACCTTCATTAAAATCTCTGAAGACAGAAGTACTCATGGATTTCAAAAATTTCAGATGACAAAAGGCACAGGTAATGCGTATATCCCACATATTATGTAACAGCCCAAATGGGTCTGGGCAGAACCCCGTAATTTCCTCAGAGGAACATGTGAATATTCGCTCCAAGTGAGAAAAATAAGGATTTATAAATAGCTTTGTCAATTTAGGTTTTGCTCCCATATAAGTTCAGGTTGAGTCAGATTTTGCTGAACAAGTTACATTTGGATTTCAGATTGGCAAGCCAGAGATTACAGGCCCTAGGTTGGAACCCTCTTTCTAGAACCCACGTGAGAACGCAGAGCACTAGAGATTAATCCACTGGCCCAGAGTCACGCCAGGGCCAGACTCACACCACACACCGGATGCATCAGGCAACCTTCCCGCACTGATCGGGTACTGCACAGGGACTGGGAAGGACCAGCTCGGCCACAGCGGTCTGGGAGTGGGTGACAGCAGCACAGACAGCCCACCGGAGACAGACATGTGAAGACTCATTCCCACTTACACCACCAGGCACGACCATGCCAGAACCCTGGGGTAGGATCCCCAGGCACAGGCTCTGTCCACCGTGCTCAGGCAGCCTCGGCACCCCTGCCCCGGGCAGTCAGACCACAGTGGGTGGGAGGTGCCTCCAGGCCAGGCCCCTGGGGGAACAGGGAGGGGAGGACGCCTAGGGTGGGCAATGTGCCTGCGAGCCCCAGCCGCCTGCCTTCTCTCGGTAGCTGCTCCCCGAGCTGCTGGGCCCTGTCCTCTGCACAGAGTGGCTGTCCAGGGAGAGCTGGAGGCTGCTTGTTCCCTGAGGGATATGGCGACCTTGGCCAGCCTTTGAAATCCCAGCAGCCCTTCCTGCACCCCAGACCCTGCACTTGAGTGGGGAAGCTGCAAGCACACGGTGCAAAAAACTGGTTAATATTTACAAGCTTGATCATATGCACCATCTTATCAGAACACACGCAATGTACCTGAGCAGCCACAATCCCATTTGACAGATGGGGAAACCGAGGCAGGGAGGGGTGCCACGGACAGCAGCAGAGCAGGATCTCTTAACACTGTACTTCCCTAAAACCATTTCTAATTTTTAAAACATTGTTCTCATTTTCCTAGAAAGCCCAGCCCTCCATACCCCCTTTTATGACAAACGCCTACACTTCATTTAAGCCCCTGGTCAGACGTCTTTTCTCATAGAAGGTGCTCCATACCCCTCCTTCTAGATGGAGGTCACCTCCTTTCTAAACCCTCCTAGATTCTATGTGAATAGTGTTCAAAGCATTTATTCTTCCTCATTGTGTGTCCGTTTCCTGCCCCCCCCCGCCCCCGGGGCCTCTCAGGTCAGCTGTAGCAGAATTCACCCTCAACCCACTACCCAGAAAGGGGCCTGACGTGCAGGAGATGTCCGAGGAAATCTACTCAATGGGTGAACGAGTCGGTCAAGGCCCTGGATACTTCTCTAATGGCCTCGTCTACTCTCAGGAGGGAAAGGGGCACCCTGGACGTGGCTGTCCACAGGACAATCTCTGTCGTGCACACAGACTGCTTCCCAGCACCACCTGAAGCCTCTGACACCTGCAAGGGGCAGGAGAGAGGCTGAGCTTCTCACGGGGAGCGCCGAGGCCGGGCTGGGGTCTGGGGAGGTGCCCAGACTCCTCCTGTGCAGCCAGCTAAGAGAAGAAACACCAGCTTTTTCCTGCGCGATCCCTTTCACAAAGGTGAGCAATCACATGCTAGAGAAAAGCTACACAGCAAGGCAGATGCCCAGCGAACAGCTCAGTACTGGGCAGAAAGAGCCAAAAACAGTCCTTAAAGACCTCTGGAAAACCTACTTGTCAGCCTCACCCTTGTATCATCAACTGGACGGATCCCCAGGATACTGGGCCCCTTTCAGCCTCAGTGTTGCTTAGGGGAACACCAAGAAGACAGTGTCTGGAACTGCCTACTCCACAGCACAGGGTGGGGACCTACACCCATGGTCCTCCCAACTGGCCCTCCCTCCACCCCTTCCCAGCTGTGTGTCCCCAGGCTAGCTTCCTGCAAAGCCCCCAGGACTGTTTTTTCCACCCCAGGGCCTCAGCACATCCCTCACTGCCTCTTGGAGCCACTAGTGACTAGTGCAGACCTTCACAAACAATGGCCTCCAGGCCTGGGAACAGTGGCAGCAGACCTCCATGCTGCTGCTGACACATTTCCCTGAAATCAGTAATTGGATGCCTTTTTTTCTCCTGAAATTCAGCAGATCCCAAAGTACTCAGCAATGTTGCCTCTGAATTACTAAGCGTATGGGCCTCCACCGGAGACAGAGCTGAGCCCCGGTCACTCCCTGGGCACAGGAAATGGCAGGAGCACCTGGCAGAGCTCTGGTGCAGAGCTGGTCTCTGAGCTCAGCCCCGGGTCTCCCTGCTGTGCTGAGGGAGGGGCCCCAGCCATCAGGGGCGCACGCCCCTTCTTTACCCTGTAGCCTAGAAAGTGCCCCTCCTCAGGTGGGTAAGCAGAATGCAACAGGAATGGCTGTGCAGCACCCCTCCCTCCCTCGCTAGCCTTGCGAAAGCAGGCGGTAGCCCCTGAACCACTGACGGCATCGAAGGTGTCCCTCCTCTCCCTTCGAGGCCCTGCAAGCTTGTCCCTCCAGAAGGCTGCCCTTATCAATCACTCCAGGAAATAATGTTCCAGCAAGGAGCAACGGCTTCCCAGCTCTCCTGCAAAGGAAAGCCAAGCCCCCAGCACACCTGACCCCATCGGAAAGCTCAGGGAGGGCACCTACCGACACTGGTTATCTTCTGAGCACCGAGGTCATGCAGGAGGGCTTCGATTGCTGGGTTATGTCTGGAGTAGAGTTCATACCGGTTAATGCCGACGTGGAACTTAAGCCAGTTGGGGTAGGAGTCCACTGCCACCTCCCCCGTGGGCAAGAATTCTTCATTTTCAGCGCCTTCACGTGGCCTACAGAAAATGAAGGGGACCCGGAGTCAGCAGGGAAAGAACGGAGTGGTAAGATCTGGATGAATACGGGGGCGTTGGTGCCAATGCCAAGGTTTTAACTTTGGATCCAAACAAATGCAGATTTGTTCAAAGATGCCTCTGCCCAAACAGGACTTTGCGGACTTCCCTACTTTTCCTGTGGCTGTTGTTGTACTAACTAATAACATATCTAAACTGTAATTCTTACTTACCCTCAGGAGACGCCCAGACAGCTCTAACTAAATCAAGACCAAGCCCAGAACTTCAGTGCCAGGCCCTACCGAGCCTGTCCTGGGGTCACGAAAACAGCCCAGCAAGTGTGATGTCAGCTTGGGGTATGAGAGGCTGTCAGCTCTTCCTGGGGACAGACAAGCGAGCCTTCTTTGACCACAAATTGTGTGCACATCAGAGACACACCCTGCCTGTCAGAAACCTTCCCTGGGCACTCTGCTTTGGTTCCAACAACCAAGGGTAGAAATGATGCAAGAATCTAAATTTGATTTTAATGAGAGCAGTCCTGGGTGGGGAGAGAGGAAAGAGGCAGGCACTCACTCCTGCGGAGGCCCAATGTGAGGACCTGCTGCCCATGTGGCCTGTCCTTACATCTCTGGAGTCAAGGGGCCAGTCTGCGGGAGGACAGAGCCTATCTGCTGCTGGGCTGGAGGGAAAGTGGAATTTGTCTTAGCTCTAACACACCTGCAAATGAGGCCCTTCTGGCCCCAAGCCCTGTCCCACCAGGGCCACACCACTGACCACAGTCCTGGGCTCTGTCCTTCCTGTGAAGAGCCCCAAGCCTGGGCTACTGCTCTGATTCTCAAGTTTCTGAGCATTTCCTTGAACCTGGCCAGCAGACAAAGCTCAGACACCACCAAACACCGTGGTGTATTTAGACAGAAAAGCCTGGGCCTAGTCAAATTTCAGGGTAGAAAGGGTTTGTATAAGATGTTTTGGGAAGCCGCCTTCCCCCTGAGTTGCTTGGGTAGCTATTTATTCTGGCCTTGCTGCTAGTTAATATTTCACTACTCCAGGCTGCAGAATCTGCTTATTCTGAACTGTGTGGCTGTGGAGGGCCTGGGGGGAAGGGTTTAAACCGGGACAGCTTAAGGAGATGCTCCTGAGGATGCTTCTCACCTTTTATGAAGCTGTCACCCAACGGGGCTGGCAGCATTCCAAGGGCAGCCGCTGTTTGCACCCCAGCTGGAAGAACCCTTTTGTTATGCCTCATTGGGGCCAGCACGCCCCTCTGCTAATTTTGTTCTCAGCGACTGGCTTACAAGGCTCATTAGGCTTCTGCAGCCTTTCCTGATGTGTCCACTGGAGAAATGTTCCCGGGTATCTGAAAGCTCGGTGGCCAGCAGCTCCCCAGGGAAAGGTTAGGGGCAGTCTCTCTCATTCACTCCTTTGCTGGCTGGTGCATGCATTGCCTGACTTAGTTTCCGGCGCCAGCGACCAGGACCTCGCAGGCCAGCACTGCTCTCCTGCAGAGTCAGCACTGACCCTCCCTCGACTCCACAGGGAGTAGCTCCCAAACCACCCAGCAGCCCTTCTCAAGGAGGCAGTCATTCTGGAAACAAAGGCACTGCCCTGAGCAAGAGGCAGCATCCTCTCCTGCCTCACAAAGCTCCCCTCGGGGGAGGGGGCGTGGGGGTTGGGGACTCTGCTATGGAGGGGTCCATGCCCCCTGGGGGTTCCCGAGCCCCTGGGCCTCTTTAAACAATGTCTGGGATGTGCAAGGGCATTTCCGGGGAAGGGGAGCACAGGTTGATGGCTGCTTGAGGGTTTGGGGCCTGGCAGCACCCACCCTGAGCTGCCTCTCGCCTCACTCACCAGTCAGGATTCTCAGCTGCCGCCTTGGGGTTGAACCTGATGTCGCTGTTCACATTGAAGAGGACGTCGTCCTCCGACAGCGGTGGAACCGACACCTGGTAGAGTGGGTGTTCAAACAGCCTAGCCAGGAGAGAGCTCTCCCCGCTCGGGCCAGGGGGCGGCGCCGACCGACGGGGTCCGGGATCTCGGAGCAGTGGCCGGTGCGCGGGATCGCGGGGCCGGGGACTGCCGGGTTCCTGCCCCTGCAAGGCGCCTTCGGCCGGTTCGGCTGCGGCCGGCAGTTTCTCCAGCGAGTGGGATGTGAGGTTGGAGGAAGGGTCGGAGCTAAAGTCCTGCAGGATACGCAGCGTGTGTTTGTTGGGCCAGCCTGCGTCGCCCGCTGCGGACGAGGCGGCCGGGGGCTCCCCGGGGCGGCCCCGCGCCTTGGCCCAGCCAGGCGCCGCCGCCTCGACCGCGGGTTGCGCGCACGAGCAACCAGGTTCCCCCGAGGGCCGCACGGCGCGCCGCTCCAGTTTGGGCAGCAAGTCCAGCACGATGTGCAGCGCGCAGGCCACCAGGAACACCATCAGGATGAGCACGCGGAACCTGCGCACCAGGATCATCTTCATGGCCGCGCCGGCGAGCGCGGCCTGGGCTCCGGGCGACCTCCTAGAGCGCGCTCCTCCCGTGCCCCGGCTAGTCTTGGCTTGGCACGAACGCAGTGCCGAGGCACAGGTCAAGGTCCATCCGGCGTCGGACAGCTACCAGCTCCAGGGCTGTCCCCCGGCCCGCACCACGTGTAGGGCGCCCACCGCCAAAGAGCCCGCTCGCCGGGCCATTTCGGGGCCGTTCCCTCTCGCCTCTCCGGAGTGGCCGCGCCCTCAGCGGCCGGGCCTAGCGGCCCTCGTCCGCGGAGCCGGGTGCGCAGCCGGGTGAGGCCCCGCGCACTCAGCGGCCGGCTTGTGGTCTCTGCGCTCATCCGGCGCGCAGGGCCCCGACGCTGCGGCCCATCTAGGCCAGGGCGCGGCTGCCTGGGGGTGGCGGTGGAGATGGCGCGGCGCAGTCCCCTCCGCGGCTCCGTGGGCCGCGCCAGGCGCCGGGCTGGCCAGGCGGAGAAGGGGCGGCTCCTTCGAGCAAGGCTCGTCTCTCTCACGCTGCGGTCCGGAGGCGGGGACCTGGAGGGGGAGCAGGGCGCAGGGCCGCGGGGACAAGGAGGGGGCGGGTACAGGGTTGGGGGGCGCACGGAGCGGCCGGGGAGGTCTCCGGGCAGGTGCAGCGGCCGTCCCCCGAGCGCAGCGCCCGCGCGGCCGAGCCTCTCGGCGCCCCGCGCCCGGGCCGGCAGATATCTGAGAGCCGCGGAGCCGCCCCCCGCGTCAGCGCCCGCAGATTGGCGGAGACGCAGCCCCGCGAGTCACGGCCAGGCCCGAGCCGACTCCGCTCCCTCTCCTTTCTCCTCCCCTCGGCCGCGCCCCGCGTTGCTTCTGCAGCTCTGGGCCCGCTAAGGAGAGGGCGCCTTCTTTCCTCGGTGGCTGAGAGAAGACGGAGAGACCCGAGAGACGAAGGCCGGGGGGCTCGGGCGCGGCGAGCCGGCTCCTGCAGTACGGGGAGCGCGCGCGGGCGATGTCTAAGGGGCGGGGGGGGGGGGTCTCCGGCCAGGCCGCCGTACGTAGGACCTCCGCCCGCCCGGGGCCGGCCGCCGCCAGCTGCAGCCTCCAGGCTCCTCCCCAGAGGAGCCGAGGGCCAGAGCCCAGGCCAAATCCCTCCCCGGAGCCGCTGGGCGTCTGCGCCGCCGGATGAGCTCCCCGCCGGGCGGCGATCTTGTGCCCCCCGCCCCCCGCCTCGGGAGGCCCCCCGCGCGCCCCGCTGCCGGCTAGGGGAGAAAGGGACGACGGGGCGCCGCCGCCGTAAAGACGAGAGGAGCTTGGTATTTCGCCCAAATAACAAATCAGGAGGGGATGCCAGAGCAGCTCCTGCACCCGGCTGGGGGGCCCCACCCCACCCCAAGGGGACACGCCTGCGCCTTAACTCTGATGGCGCGGGCGCCCCCGTGCTACTATACGCTTGGCGCTGAGAGGTACCTGGTGTTTGCGGAGGCCGCACCTCCCAGGCTTTTGAGTGTGTGTGTGTGTGTGTGTGTGTGTGTGTGTGTGTCTCATTTGCTTCTCCAGATATGGAAAATCAGCCACCCAGACCCAGGGCGTGGCACTTCTACGTGGCCTCTTCCGTCTTTTGGGCCCACACAACTTCTGGGGCCCCAGCCCCCAATAGGGAATATTAATGTGGACGTCAGTCTAAAGTCCTGGTGAGAAGGGTTAAGTGAACCCGGCCGGGGAAGGCAGTCCAAACATACCCATCTCCAAGCAAACAGGCTGTCTGCCCCATGCCCTCCAGGCACTGCAAATTGTTTTCAGCCTCTGGCAGGACTGAGAGGGGAAGCAGTCTCTCTCTGGTCGGGGGCCTAGGAGGGAGCCCCTGCTTTCATGTCCACTTTCTGTGCTGCCTGGGCATCTCACTGGGCTCTCTGGACTTCAATTCCCTCTTCATCCCTGAGACTCAATATTGAATCTCCATGTCTGGCCCAGGCCCTAACATGCAGTAGGCATCCACTAGATGCTTGGTGAAGAAGAGTCCCAGCCCAGCTGGTCAGTGAAGTAAGTGTCTCTGAAGCCATTGGAAGTAAATGAAATGGTCCCTCGGCCCTTCTGGAGTTGGAGCTGGAGGTTGGAGGGGGCAGGGTGTGAAGGTGGGTCTGACCTGGAGATGGAGCTCCCCTCCCTCCCACACTGCACCATTTGTGTGCAGAAGAGGCAACTGGGCAAAGTTACCCAGAGAGGCCAAGGAGATGATGTCCAAGCAGAGATGGAGGTTGGTGAGTAAGCCCCTCCCCCTTCCACTGGGGGAGCAGAACCATGAGCCCCACAATGTCTCCCTTGGCCTTGGGGTTCTGCAGTCTCTGGCCCCCTCAGCCCTTCCCTGGTCTGTGTCCTCAGGGCGGCCGTGGGGTGACCTGACCCCATGAATCATAGACATCATGTAGGGGGCCTCACTGGGGCTCACAGGGCACTTATTCATGCCCCTCCCCTGATGGATTCCTCGGGCATCTGAGGTGTTAGTTGGACTCCTGTTCACCACTGGATGGCTCTCTTGCCTAGGTCTTGGTTCACCTCAACTACCACCTTGAAGAGGCATTGTTTCGCTGACCAGATGGTTTTGAAGTATCCTCACCCCCTTTCCTCAATGTCTGACTACTCTATTTTCTTAGCAACACCCGCCACTGTCTGAAGGTAACATCTTCTGTTCTTGTTTATGGCTTGTCTCCCCTAAAATGCATATGCCCCACTATGTAGGAGCCTCCCACCATGCCTTGTTCACAGCTCTGCCCTGATGCAGAGCAGGGGCTCAGAGCAGACCACAAGCCACCATCCAACTCAAGGTCAGGCCTTAGCAGGCTTAGGTACACATAGGAAATGGGCTTTGAAAAGAGCACGTGCTACAGAGACGGAGCACGAAAACCCTTGGCCAGATTTTTCTGCCGGGTCCCTTTATACTTTGCTCTGAGGAGTAGTTTGACTTGGTTCAATCCATTCATCCATGGAAATCACAAAAAAAACCACAGTGGGCTGCCGTGGTGGGGACGGCGTTCCCTGGTGGATTGTGGAGGGAGGCGTTCTCCAGGCAGAGAGGGAGCAAGCAGCCTGGGTACGGGATGTAGATGTAAGGTCTTTGGGTTCTTTGTGGCCGGGTCCCTGGGGACAGGCAGCACGGGGAGGCGCCGCTTGCTCCCAAGTGCTTAGGGCAGCAGAGAAGTCTGCTGGTCACTCCTCAGTCCCTGGTTAAAGCACAGCGGAGGCGAGCCTCTTCACCCTAAACCTCCCCTGGGTGTGCGAAGCCACCAGCTGGCCTGGCTGAGAAGCCGCCATTAATACAGGGCTCCTTTAGGTGACCGGAGGTGAGGCCCAGGAACAGCGGCAGTGTAGGAGACGCATAATGGTGACCGTTGAGTGAGGGCTGGAGGAGCCAGGACAGCATCATCTGTGACGTGGAGCCCCCACCTCAAGGACAAGGGTGGGGAAGACACTTGGGGTTTGCACAACTGGGTGAGGAGGCAGAGCTGCTGGAGAAAGACTGTCCTGTGAGCTGCAGGCCTATCAGCGGAAGATGACTGGTTTTCCTGGCCAAATGGCTGGAGAACATTCCAGAAGGGCCCAGGAGGGAGGCCCAGAGGGACCCACCCACTAAGTCCTGGCACCTACATCTCTCAGACCCTTCGATGTTTTCCTAAGGATTACTCATCCAGGACCCAGCAGGGAGGCTTCTGGGGCGGTTTACCACAGGCCAGCCTTGACCACAGGCTATTCTGGGAGCTGGGGGTGGACAGGCAGCAGGGAGGAGGAGCAGGTCATGGTCTTCACGGCGCACCTGTGTCCAGGCATCATGGGGTGTGCACTTTTAACCCTTGTCTGCTAGCACCAGAGAAAGTGGAACTGGACTTGGCGGGCAGGGGTGTTGGGGTAACAGGCCTGGCCAGCAGAACTTCCCAGGAGAGATGGCCCCCCAGGAGAAGGTGAGTTGAGACCACTGTCCTCTGTGCTGGCTTTGAGGGACTCCTGGGGTGACTTGGAACAGGAGGAGTGGGGAGGCATTCAGTGGACAAGGTGGGGCCTCTGGCTCACTCATTCCTCAGCCACAAGGCCATAGCCTGAGGGGTCTTTGGAAAATAGAGCTTCTTTGTTCTAATTTAAAGCAACAGGTCAAAAAGCCAAAAATGAACAAATAAAACAATAAAAAAACTTGACTTTATTTTGGACATTTTGGATTGCTCAAATACATGATTTATATTCTATCGTTCACAAAGAGCCACAAAACTGACCATCTTTTGACCATAAGGGAAATGTTAAGAAATTGCAAAAGCGGTTAATCTACAGTCTGGTCACTGTGTGTGCATATACACATTCCTGCAGAAACATGCATACATGATCTTCAGTCTGTTCATTGGACACAACGCAGTTTAATAAAAACAAGAGCTAAGCTTTAAAAATATTTCTACCTGGAAATTAATACCACAAATAAAAACTCATATATATAATTTGGGGGTCATGAAGGAAACCAGAAGGGAAATTACACACTATTTAAAAATGAAAGCAAATGAGAACAGCACCCAATAAAGCGTTCAGGAGGCCACCAAAGGGGCGCTCAGAGGGAAGTTGGGGTGATGACCCCACTCACTAGAACACAATAATGACCACACGTACGTGAACCGAGTTTTCGGTCCAAGAAACTAAAAGAAGAGCAATTTTAAAAGTCCCAAATAAAGAAGGGACGAACTAGCGCAGAACAAACCAAAAGCAAATGCATTAGAAAGTGAGCAGCGCTGGAGGTGGCTAAGAAGATGGAAAAGGCCAGTGGGAGAGCCAGTGAACAGTGAGGCCAGAGTGAGGGACAGAAGGGGATGCAGGGCAGGGCTCTGGAGGGAGGCGCAGGGCTGGGAGGGGGACAGGCTTGGAAGTCCCTGACGGGGGAGATGGTGCCACAATATCAGCCTGATGCAAACCAAAGAGGTGTTTTTAAAGAAGAGTTCAAACAAAGGTCTAGAAAATGGGGCCAGACCCATCATCGTAGGAGAAGTTGAAAAATGATAAAATATTTATCCCTCAACATAGAAGTCAGGCCCGTGTTGCCTGACCTTTATCAGACATTTGAGGAACAGACACCTGGCATGTTACAGAAATTGCTCCAAAGAGGAGCGAAAGGGTGGAAGGTCCCTGGCCATTTCAGACAATCCTGACGCTGATGTTCACCAGATACGGCCATCCCACCTCTAAGCAGCGAGCACCCCACTCCGTTCACTTCACAGATGAAGGAGAAAATCCTCTGATC